TATATATATAAAAGCCTGGCACTCAGTTACAATTTGCTAACCATTAGCGAAAATAAAATCAAATACTTTCAGTGATTGTCTTTATACCAACAATCATACTTATATGTCCAATCAATCTTTGCTTGTTGTGTGTCATTATAGTCTTTTGGGACATCGCAGGTGCAAAGGGCCGCATTAAGCATAGTTTAATATTGACTCTGCAAGCTCTGCTGAATGCATTTTAATGAGTAAGTATACACTCTCACACACGACCCCTGCTGCGTATGCGCCATTTTAACCACAATCTGCATTCATATCATAAGACCAATATGTGTGACCTTTTATCGTGTCTCATTTGCTGTCTAAGCAATAAACATGGCTTAATAATTCCCGCTGTGATTAGTGTCATCTGTCAGGGCGTATTGTGAGTCTAAATAATGCAATTAGGCAGTTATTTTCACCCCGTGTCAATTAGGGGACTTGATTTAGACAAGCTCTTTTAAAGTGCTTGAAAAGCCAGCCATGTTCTGTATTCTCTGTTGCGAGCGCTCGAGTTCAGTTCAGCGAGGTGGCTTTTGTTCAGCCCGGTCAGGTCTCCATTGGACGGATGAAGGGAAATTCAGCCCAGGCTTTGTATCTCTCCAGGGGTGAGTGCCTGCACAGCACAGGGTCAGTCACTGAACACCAGAGGTCAAACAGAATGAAGCCCAGCAGTCCATGAAGCTGCAGGGGAAAATTCAATAGGTCAACAGAGATGGGAAAGGAGAGAGAGAGAGAAATTGAGAGGTAGAAAAAGCTCTGATTCAGCATTGCGGGAGGTTGAGTAGAATCAGAACAGCAGATTGTGTCTGCAACAGTCTGTTCAGAGTGTCACGTTGGCAGGTGAGCCTCCGGCTTCGCAGTAGCTGCTGTATGCAGTAACATGGGTATTTTGATTATGCAGGAAAAAAATGTTTTTGTTGTTGTGTTGCCTTTGTTTTTTTTTGTTAATTTTAGGACTTTGATACCTCCATTTTATATGGAATTTTATTCCACCCACCAACCAAAAACATAATTGCTTAGAAAAGTACTGTCCATATCTTTCATGTGAATGAATTTCCTTTGTTTGCTTTCACTTTTCCTCCGCATAATGTCTGAAATTTGTATTACAAGCACTTTTCATGTTATCATTTGCATATTTTTTGTGATAGATCGCTTGCATTTTTCATTTGTATGTCGCTTTGGATAAAAGAGTCTGCCGAATTAAAGGGGTCATTTGATGTTGCTAAAAAGAACATTATTTTGTGTATTTGGTGTGATGAAATGTGTTTATGCGTTTTAAGGTTAAAAAAACACATTATTTTCCACATACTGTACATTATTGTTTCTCCTCTATGCCCCGCCTTTCTGAAATGCGTCGATTTTTACAAAGCTCATCGTTCTAAAAAAGCGAGGTGTGCTGTGATTGGCCAGCTATCCAGTGCGTTGTGATTGGCCGAATACCTCAAGCATGTGATAGAAATGTTACTCCCCTAACCATATTGTGATGATGCCCTGTCAGGCCGGAGCGATGATTCAAAAACATGAAAACCCATTATAAACGAGGCATTCGTTGCATCCAGTGGGGACATAATTATGGATTATAATGACTTATACTGTCTTTTTACGCGTTGCGTTGCATCGCGCCGCGTAAACATAAAACCATGTCTGCATTTGTGATCGGAGAAATGACAAACAACAAGCCCTGCTCAACACTGCCCAAAAAACTTGCTTTAAATATAAAAAATATAAAAACTCTTTAAATATAAAAAACTTACCTACAGTCTTTGAGTCAGAACAGCCGGCATTGTTGTCTACTCTACCAGGATCAGGAAACGGTCCTCCATAAAATGCACTGCACACATTTGAATATTTGGGTTGAAGTGTTCTGGAACAGTGTTGTAAATACAACTTAACCACTGATTTCTAGTCATGTCCATTTTTGGAAGGCCAAACAAAGTAGGTTTCGCTTTCACAATAAAACAGCGTCATACTACAGTGAGCAGAGGCCGGGGGCTAGCGTGAGGAA